TGGATGATGAAGGTAGGGGAGCAGAGCAGCAGGAAATCCGCTGGGTCTCTCCCTTTCCCTCCAGTTACTCTTCTGAACTCTCTACTAACCACTGTTTTTGCTGCTGAGCTTCCAGCGAGCTCCTGGATGGGGAGAGCACCCCAATCCTGGCTATGAGCAACTGATGCAAATGTTCTCACTAAAAATGAGGGGTCTTAATTTCTTCCTCCTAGCTCCACTATTATCTTTTATAGTATATTTTGACCCTGGCTATGTGGGAATGCAGGCTGTGCATTCTCCTATAGATTATACAGAGGACTGAGAGAATTAGGGATCGAAATTAGGTTGTACTGGTGAGCTGGGAGGGAAGAGCTAATGCAGAGACCACAGCTCACCTTGGGCAGCCTTTGCCCATGTTTCACTTGGCTTTAACCTACGCTGCTGGGCTCTTATATTTGTAACTCTAAACCCAGAGGCGAAAGGAAAACTAAGTGCGGGAAGAAGAGGTGGCTACGAACCCATCTCCTCCCTGGCCCAGGTGCACTTGATGAAGGACTCGTTGTCCGAATTGGAGGGAGGAGCAGCAGGGGGCAAGTTGGGTGCCACACTGCACACAATGGTGCCCCGGTGCTTTGGGCCATTGGCCGAGTTGAAGGTGACGAACTCGGGAGTGCCGGTGGGTTTGCGCTGCTCTGGTGTGGCCCGGTCCAAGTTGTTGTGCGCCACGTCACTGAGGATGTTGAGCTCGATGGGCGGTGCGGCCTGGGTGCCCACACCCACGCTCTTGGAGAACTCACTCTTGGAGAGCAGGTCTGGGTCCTCCCGGGCCACAGGTTTGTGCGCCTTGGCCCTCTGGCGATAGCGCTTGCGGATGAGTACGAAAATCACGGCCAGGATGGCTACCCCCAACACGCCAGCCACAATCTCTGCAATCTCCTCAAGGCTCATGCCCCCCTGCGTGGGCACGATGGCAGGGGTGATGATGGGCTGCGTGCAGTAGTCCCCCTGGAAATCCGTCGGACAGATGCAATGGATGGAGCCCTGGGCGCTCACACAGCGCCCTGCATTTTGGCATGGGTTGTCTTGGCACTCCTCTACCAGCTTCTCGCACCTGTGGGAGGAGACCAAGATGGAGACAACCACTGTCAGCCTGGAGATGGGAAGCAGGAGCTGCCCAGCTGAGCAGGGCACAACCTGTATCATCCTCCTCAGGGTTCAGATTTACACCTGGTTAAGGATGCTCGGTCCTGGCCTGCACTCCCTCTCTTCCTGCCTCTGTCTGTGCTACCTGGCTGTCCTGGCAGAGGACCATGAGCCTTCAGTTTAAAATGATGCTTTTCAGAAGGGGACCACATTTTACAGGGTGGTCCTGTTTTTCAGTTTTGTCCAGCAAACAACATTTAGGAATGCTTGGCCTTAAAGAGGCATATTTCAACCTTATCCATCATTATCTGATAACATTAGTTATCTCTTTTCAGGTTGTCATGTCTAGCTGTCCAACAGGATGGCTGCATGCAGCTCACACCAAAAGATGTTATGCGCAAACAATATGTTTGAACCATTTTTTTAGAGGTTGCAAGAAAATGTCCCTTGTGGTCTTTTGGGAGGCCTTGGTTGCCCTCACCCAGACTTAGCTGTACGAGGGCTGAGAGAGGGAGATGGCGCGTGTGTGTGTGTGTGTGTGAAGTGAGGAGGATGTATCCGTTGATGCCTACATTTAGGACAGGCCATGGGCTGTATTTGCCCCTGTGTTGTGCCACTTTTCCCAGAATGGCTATGCCATGTGGCTCGCCTTTTCTAGGGCAAGCACTACGTGGGTCTTTCTGCCCTGTTAAATGAGGGATTCTTGTGTCCCTCTGGTATTTGTTAACCTCTTATGCTGTTTCACATATACTTCAGCCTCTGCAGAATCTCAAGGTGATCTGGAGGTATCTGTACTGCAAACACCATCTAGTCCTGAGAAATGTGCAAACTCCTGAACATGGTGAAGAGAAATACTCATTGCAGGAGGCTCTCTGGCATTTTATAGAGCATCTGCAGAACTGAGACTGAATTTCTGATTCTCTGCCCTGCTCCAACCCATACAACCAAAATGTTTGCCTCTACCGTTCCTTGACAGGATAGGGAATATCTGTTATGCTAGGTTGTAAAACACTTCTGTTATTTTTCCTTCCTTTTTCGTTTTGTAAATTCCTGCTGCTACACAAACAGAAGCTCTCTGAGGTTTGGCTCCTTTTATTTTTTAGCCCGTGCTTGCATTTTCTTTAGGATGTGTGAGCTTGTGTGTGCGACACAAGTACCTACAGTCTCACACTTGTGCTGGAGGACTGTTGATTTCGGTTATTACACTGCCACCTAATGCTTAGCTATATACTTTTATACCAAGAATTGTACTAATGGTTTCTGCCTTCGTATTGATTCAAAGTACCAGTTTTCATCACAGCCAAATAGACTAAGGCAGGAGGATAAATTTGATGTTCTGTTTCAGCCTATGCTGAGTGTCACTTGTCACGCTGATCTAGAGGCAGGAACAAGATGTAGTCCCACCAAACTATGTGGCTACAGCAGGTAACAGCTGAGAACTTCAGGGTCAGCCTGCCATGGGAGATGAGGTGGCCTGAAGCCTTCCTGAATCTTACCTTTCGCCCATGTACCAGTCAGGGCAGTGGCAGGAATAGCCCGTAGCAGAGAAGGTGCAGGTTCCACCATGCAGGCAGGGCTTGGAGTCACAGGGACTGTCCCCTAGCTCACAGTGCTCACCAGAAAATAGCCCAGGGCAGATACAGGTGTAACCTGGAGAGGATGACAGAGCCATAAAGTGACATATCTGCATCTGAATGCATAGAAGAACTAGCAGTAAATAAAGAAACACTAAAGAAATAGCGAAGAGCAGTACCCAAGACTGGCATCCACTGAAATGGCACTTGGGGTTCAATCCACCTGTTTACTCATAAGTACTTAGTGCTGTTGGAGGTGCTCTTAGGCACCCAGGATGTCCACAGAAAACTGGCAAGGACATGGAGCAGCTGCTGGAGGCTACCTGGCTATTTTCAGGGAATACAAATAGCACTTAAATTATTAGGCAGCAAATCAAACCTGTCACCTCCTGACACAGACCCTCTCCTGGCAGGGATGTAGTCAGGGTGCAGGCATATTGCAGAAAGAACCTGGGGGACCAATTCAGCTTAAAGGAGGGGGAGCCTAGCAGACTGACTGCAGAGTTTCTGACTCTGCTAAATATGATCCCATGCAGCTTGTTGTTCTCTGTAGTCTTTGGTCCTGCAAGTTCTTGTGGTATGAAGCTCCTGTCTCAACATGTCTGGTCTCTCTTGCCTACGGGAGGTGTCTAGTCACAGCCAGAGAGAAATCCAGCGTACCCAGGGATTTAGAGGGGCCTTTGCTGCTTGTGTTTTGGCTGCTGTTTAGTGTAGCCCTAAGCATGGGAATGTCCCTGGCTCTGCTGAGCTCTTTCTAGTCGCTCATCTGGTGGTGCTGTGGGAAATTCAGTGCTTCCACTTCCAGCAGCTAGAAGAGTCCTTGCTCATCCACAAACTAAAGATCCCTGTTTTAGAGCGCAGTGTGAACAAATGCAGACCTGTTTCCACATGCGTGTTAGTGGCTGTACAACAAGGACTTGCTGACGCTTGCTCAGCAGCTGCTGGATGTAGCCTATAAGGTTGCATGTGAACAAACATGTTCTGGAACATAGTTCTTTGTATCTGGTTTGTGTCTCTGGTCCTGAGCACTCTAGCTGATGTGGTGACTGGTCTCGCTTTGACCCTTTCTGCACAGATGCCTTCTCACGTGGCCCACTGGAGCTCACTTGCACAGACCTGTCTTTGCCTGTGCATGTGATCCTATGCCTGAGGTCCCTGGGCAGAACTCTGCACAAAATAGTAAAACATGACCATAGTCTCCAAGTCGGAGCCCACAGCGCTCAAAAGGCAGCCAGACACCCAAGACAACTTCACAGGAAAAACATTCCTCCGGCAACGCCTTCCCAGCCAGACTGTCCTGTCTGTTTTGGCTTGGAGCCATGTCCCATGCCATGTCCCCCAGGGATTTTTCTAGACAGTTGAGTCATTTGCAGGGGAAGTTGCTTATATGGGAAGGAAACTGGGAATAGCACTGGCTGACCCTTGGCGAGGAAGTGATTTCTTCCCCTATATCCTCTCTGCAAAGCAAGCAGCTGATGCTTTGGCTTAGAGCCAATGATTCCTTGTCTCTTAGGCTTAGAGCACTTTCCAGCCCAGTCAGAGGAGGTTGCTGTGCAGGGGTCTCAAGGGTAAAGCTAAGATGCAAGTGCCAGGCTACCTGTTTGGTATATACAGTGTGTGTCAAACAAGTTCACCTGAACCAGGCAGTTGCGGGCTGGGAATCTTGTTCCCAGAGGCTGCAGGCACAGCAGAGGTGGTGTGTTCCCTCCTCTGGTCCTCATTTGCCCTCCAGGCAGGGCGAGGGCATTGGCAGCTGGCCATGAGAAGCAAATAGCTGTAGAAGGAGCTTGTGCCCCTCACAGCAGCTTCCAGAACACCCGCTGCCCCAAGAGAGGGAAGGTGGGAGCCCAAAACACAAGCATGGGGCATTATGGTGCGTGGTCTTGCAGCACTCAAATCCAGGAGGTGGACACAGGGCAGATGCTGCTGTGAGCAGTTCCCTCCCGCTGCAGACTAGTCATGGCCCAGTGATTTAGCTTGCAGGGGATGTGCAGGTGCAAACTGTCTGGGGACAGAGCCTGGTGCACGGTACCAAACTTCAGTGGAGCATCCGGGCCATACATTAACCTGGGATTCGCAGATCTGAGCTTACCGTTTTCCCATATCCCTTCCCATAGCCCCAGGGAGTCACTGACTGCAGTGGGAACAGACTAAGATCTTGGCTTGTTTTCAGCCCAGATACCATCACTGCATGATCTGATCTTGCCCGATTCTAACTTTGCTAGTGGCTCCTTAAGGAACGAGGATGCAGAAGGGTGGGTGGAATTTCTATCTGAGTTTTTGGCAAAGCCGTGCTCCCCTAGGTCGTGCACACTGCTCAGAAACCCTCTTGCCCTGCGGGCCATGGGCTGCTGCAGGAGCCAGGATGATGATCTCATACACCCAGCTGCTGCTGCACTGAGTCAGCTATCACTTGAGGTCCCTTGGGACGGTGCCATCAGGTTCTCCTGTGGCATAGCCCCTTGCATAGGGATGATGAAGAGGTTATCTCTTTCTCCCATCATTGCTTTTTGCTTTCATATTGCTCTGCACGGTGTATTTACTCACCACCTCCATGAATTTCGGAGCACATCCCATTGTTGAGGCATGGATTGCTGCTGCAGGCACCAGCAGGGGAGCAACACTGCTTTATTTCCACCTCCTCCATGACTTCCTTTGATTGCCCCTTTCCAGGCAGGAGAACCACTTCTTTGCCATTGATTGCAATGACATCCAGGCAGCCTCTGAACCCCCGTATGACTCTCTGGGACTGGAGTGGCTGCCGGAGGCCCCCGAAAAGCAGATCTCTCTTGCCCTGGGAGATGCTGCAAGTCCCTGGAAGCTGGAGAGATGCGTTTCCCAGGCCATCGATGAGCAGGCGGACAGACGTGTTCTTCACTTCCAGGAAAACTGAGTGCCACTCACCATCACTCACAAAACGTGAGGAGGAGAGGTTCCTGGTGTAGTTTCCCCGACAGCTGTACCCAAGGTGAGGCACTCCTTTCACTATCTGCAAAACACATCCAGGAGGTCACAGTTAACAGCAATACAGGTAGCTGTTGTGCATGGAAGCTCAACACTTCTCTTGCTGTTTTTTTTCCCTCACTTGCCTGCCTAAGCCTTACAAGTCAAGATGAACCACAATTTTCAGACCACAAGAACTACCATGTAGGCAAATCCAGCCCCTTTCACTCTTGTTTAGTTTTGCACTGGTCAACTGAAGCCTGTTCAAGTGAACACAACCTCCTTTCTTTTGCAAAATGCCTCTGTCTCACTGATCATCTTCACCCTGTGGCCTTTTCTTGCATGTGACCAGTGTAAAGCAAGGGAAATTCATCTTTCCACATGTAAGTGTGGAGCTCCGAGTGTAGGTGTAGAGCTCTCTGAGTGTAGAGCTGTGATTGTACTTCTGCAGCTGGTACCCCTTCTCCCCCTTTCCTGCTCCTAATCACAGCTTAGGTATTTGGGCTATCTGTTGCTGGCTGGATGCAGGTGGACTCCCGTTATGGGCACCATGGCTTTTATTCTTTTTTCACTGTCTTGTTACTGGTGGGGAAGCTGCCTGTGCAGTTCCCTCTTTGGCATGGGTGAGGAGTGCTGAAAGGACCTTGTTGAGGAGGAGCACCTGGCAGCCTTTCTTTGGAGGAAGCAAGGAGGAGGTGGGAGGCAGAGAAAGGAATTACTGTTGCAGTTGCTCCTAATCAGCATGCTGGAAACTGGGGCCAAAGTTTCTAATAGATGTTGCAATCCAATCCTCACTCCCCAGCACCAGGGGATAGGAGGGGGACAATTGAGTTATTGAGCTTCTAAGAAACTAACCACACCAATGTCTTCTGCAGTGTACTGGGCAGTCAGAAATTCTAGTCTGTGGCCCAAGGCGCGCTCAAACTGAAGTGGAGGCAGAGAAAGGAAAGGTTATCTGGGCTCTTTCAGAGTGAATTCAGGTGCAAATCCTCCTTCGTGTTTTCTCTCCAGTGCTTTGTTAATAAAATAAGTCTTTCATAAGACTCAGGAAACTGGAGAAGGAGCAAAGAGGGAACAAAACATTCATGGAAACCTGCAGAGCTTGCTGTATAGCATTAAGTAATTCATCCCAGGTAAAAGAGATCTCTGTAGGGGATGTTGGAGATGATGAGGTGTGATGATGCCTGGAAGAGGCTAGAGGAGGAGCAAAGGTTATAGGCTACACTGAATTCTAGAAAAAGCTACATCTGATATGATGGGTCTAGTCTGGATGGGCCAAAAGAAGACCAAGACAACAGTTCACTCAGTACAGATAAAGGCTGAGCAAGGAGGGAGTAACCACTGAAAGAACCCAGGCATAACAAAAGGAAGATGGTTTCAGAAGAGCTAGATACAGCTGGCACATGTTCTGGAAGCACCCCAGGGCAATGTGTGTAAATTCCTTTGCACAATTGGCAGGCACACCACAGAGCTTTGTTGCTTTGTTTTATCTGGAAGAACCTGATTTTGTTGAAGATGGGTCTGTAGATTGGACTTATCAATTTCTCAGACTGGAAAACAGCTGAGAACTGAGCTTCCTGAAGCAAGAACTAACAGATTGCTGTCTCCCACAGCTTGCCTAGTTTTCCCATGTTTGTGCTGCAGAGTGCTATTTCTGAATGTCAGGAATACTTAGCAATTGGAAGAGCAATATGTGTGCCCTTGCGAGAACTCATCCTCTTCACCAAACCATCACTTCCTAGATATGATTGTTTTAAAGATTTGGCTTATACCTTGATTGCTGCAGTTCTTAAACCTTAAATTCCCCAAATATATTGGTCTAGATGGCCTAGAAAAGCCATATATTTTAGGAAGTTGAATTAATACAGATAAGTAATACTGCTTTGGGGAAGGGAAACACAAGGAAAGGCAATAAGTGGTTTATTAAACCAGAAAAATCCTCGGGTATTGCAAAATGTACCTCCAAGGTGGTGTGGTCAGTCCCGTTAGCGTAGAACACAACCGCATGCAGCTGGTGGGTTTTCAGGCGGAAGTGCATGTGCCAGGACCCGGGCTGGGAGTGGTGGTACCAGATGTGGCTGTGGCCTCCAAACCTCACAGCTGTTCCTGGAAGCAGAATAAGTTTCTATTAGTCTCTGTTTTGATGAGTGCAGGACTAACACAGTAGCTCAAAGAATAAAATTCTGATCACTGAACTCATTGAAGTGCGAGTCACTTTTCTGAACAAGATAGATGTTGCTAGTAATGATAAACTACAGAAGATTCATTTTTTAAAAAAAAAAACCTAAATTTTAAAGCTCTAAGTCTAGACTTAGTCTTGAAATTGAAGTCAGAATGGTTAGTCTTTGGGACAACCATGGAAAGTCTTGGTGCTTTACATTGGACTGACGGGAAACAATGTACCACAAAATGGCTTCAGGTTTCTAGCATGGGACGCTGATGAGAAGGATTGCTTACCATTGCAAGAACAGATTTGCTCCAAGCTGTGCCGTGGGGTGAGGACGCTGAGTCGGGCAGTGCTGTAAGTCGACATCATGCCTGGGTCCATCTGAATAGTTTCCTTGCAGACACGGTGGGCGCAGTCTGCCCCGTGACATGGCACATGAATTGCCTTCTTCATTCGGAGCCCAACGAGCTGATCCATCTCTCCAGCTGACACAGTGATCTTATTTGCAAGGACCCGGGGCTCATACAGCGAGCCATGAGGCTCTCCAACAGCCAAGAGCAGGTCCACTCCATCCGAGGCAGCTGCAGGCTGCAAGCTGGCCATGTGGATGTTTTGGCGCCGGGTGACAAGGACGTTTCCCAGGAACCTTTGCAGGTTGCGCCAATGGTCCCCCACAAATTCCTCAGGAGAAAGGTGGCGGAAATGTAGCACTACAGCCTTGTCCAGTGCCTCCTGCGTGAAGCACCACACGTGCACATTGACACTGGTGGTGGCTGTGAATGTACCATCGCTGACTGTCACGTTCAGAAGATAGTGGCCATGGGGAAGCTTGTCCCCAGCAATGATCTTTCCATCTGCTGCTCCAACAGAAAAGAGCCCCTCCTGAGGCACTTCAGCCACCAAAGTATAGACCAGCGTGTCGTGGGGATCCCGGTCCGTGGCGTGGATCTTGCCCAGAACACCTCCTCGGAAGGCCCTCTCGTTGGTAGTGATGAATATCTCCAGGGGAAGGGCTGAGGGAGCATACTGGCTCTGCTCGGTCACTTGGATGTTTATAAATGCAGATGATGACAGGGGAGGGATGCCGCTATCAGATACCTGTCAAGGAAAACAAGAGGATGTTATAGCTGTCTGCTGATTTATGGTCGACTCACCTGACAGGCTGAGAAGGTTTTACAGAGAAGTAGCAGTGGGGGGAAACTGTCAGGCAGCAGTTTGGGAATGAAAAAGGAAGGGTGCTAACTGGGGAAAAATGATGGCAAGGTTGGATCTCATCTGGAGTTGGCTTTACAAGACAAGGTCCATCTGGCAGAGTGGCTTCCAGCATGGAGACCAGTTGAGAGCTTCTGTTAACAGAGGGGTTTCACTCATTTCTGTGTGTGCTCATCAGCACCAGAGATGCAACTGGGCAGTTCTGATTTCTGAGATGTTTCTGTTTTCTTTAGAGATGTTGCCAATCTTTGGGGCTCCATATGTAACTTAGTGTGCAAAGACAAAGCAGCTACACACATCAATGCATTTATTCTCCTGGTCTGTTTAAGTCTATATCCTATCTCTGACAATGACTGCCTTACAGGAGTCAAGGAATTCTAAACAGAAAAAAACAACATGAATAATCAGATCATAAGAGAAGTTTCTCTCTAATCTTAGGCAATTAGTGGTTGAGTTCATAGTAATAACAGTACATAGCTTTAGAACAACTATTATTACTGCAGTTGTATGTGCATTATGTATTATTATCTCATTGTTTCTAATGGGATATCCTTACTGATAACAGTGAAAAATAATCCATTTATCCTGTACTGTTACAGATGCTCTTTGAAGAAAAGCTAAAATCTCTCCTAGGATGATTAGAGAAAGTTTTCAGGACCAGAACCAGGTCTCACTTATCAACTGGAAGTTGCTAGAATTATGCTAGGAAAAGTGTTTGTCTAAGGAAACTGGTGGCAGAGCACTTCTCATGATCACACTACCTGATTTTATCAATACAGAGGCTGGTTCCCAGCTTCTTGTGGACAAACTGCTTGGAGAGAGAAGCTCTATCTGTTTCCAAGCTGCAGAATTTGTGCCCAGACTGGATTTCTCCCAAGACAATGAAGTTCCCATCCAGCTGTGCTGTCCTAATCTCATTTTGTTGTTTCTAACCTTGGCTGGGTGAACTCATATACCAAGGGAGTAAGGCGGACTATACCTGGACTTGTAATAGATACTGTTCTTTCATTCTTCGGTTTAGGACGGAGGATGTCACCAGCAGACCATTTGGGGTGACATCAAAGGCCTTCCCATCATTGCCCTGGGTGATCTGGAATGAATACGGTGGTCCATTTTCTGGGGAGTCTCTGTCGCTCATAATCAGCTCCAGGACACTTGTACCGACTGGGGCGTTCTCCTGAAAAAAGGAAGGATAGGAGTGGAGAAAGGCATGCAAAGAGAAAAGCCCTGGGAATTTGTCCTGCTTGTACACACATGCTCCCTCCCTTCCCCTCTTTTTGTACCGACTGGGGCGTTCTCCTGAAATAAGGAAGGATAGGAGTGGAGAAAGAGAAAAGCCCTGGGAATTTGCCCTGTTCCTTGTACACGCATGCTCCCTCCCTTTCCCTCTTCCCTCCCCTGCTCCCTAATTTACTTCTCTCCCTTTCTCTAGCATTTGTATATCGGGACTCTTGCCATCGCTGGCAGTAATGCAGTAGTGACAAGGGTTTCCCTTACATAGCACTAAATAAATGGTAGAGTCACATGGATTAATACTGACAGCTGAGCTGCTGCCCTGGTTTTCTCCTAGAATCATGCAAGTATCAGGGGAGTTTGTGTGTTCTGGGTACCTCTCCTTCTGAGTATGTATGGGTGTTTCGAGCCCAAGCTGTGGGTTCGCTAGCTTATGGCCATCACTGATAGTGGTGCTTGACTGTATGCTTGGGTCTGTGCTTTATTTTGCGGTGTAGATACTGACAAATGCAAAGGAGGAAAGGACTGCAGATCAGGCTTAAAATGTGAAGAGAGCTCTGCAGCCTCTGTATTAGAAGGACAGAAGGTACCTACAGCTGTTGGTAGGAGAAAATGGCATCTGTTCCTACCTGCTCTAGCAGATCCTGCCAGTTCTTTGTGGCAATAAGCACGAGCTCTTCCTGAACTGGGAGAACAAACTCCCTCCTGGCTTACCTGTACCACCACACTGTAGTTGAGCTGGAAGAAGCGGGGAGGGTTGTCATTGACATCAGACACTTGGACGTGCACATCAACATTGCTGAACTGAGCAGGGTGACCATTGTCTGTGGCTTGAACTGTCAAGGAATAGCTGGGAATCTGGAGAGTTTACAGAGCATGGTCATTTGGAGAAGTGAAGGAGTGCTGGCTTCCTCATATAGATGTTTAATTCTGTTGCAGAATATTATAATGCAGAGCCTGAAGCATTTTATCATAACACTAGCTTTGTCCCTTTGTCTAGGATTCTTCATTTACAAATCTCAAAGTACCTTGCTAAAGAAAATTAGCTTTACAGTAGTTGTGGAGAAGAGAAATGAATTGCCAAAGATGTATAAGAGCAAGTTGGGCAAATATCTGTCAAGGGCGGTTTAGGAAGAGTTGCCTTCTCCTTTGAGTAAGGGATGGTCCAGATGACTGTTCAAGCTCCTTTTCATAATTAGTTACTATAATATTCTGATTCATAGAAGTAGAAACCAACCATGCTGGTTTCTAGTTGTGAGTTGACTCACATCCATCTGTCTTGGAGCACTGCCAGAGTAGACAACAGCCCAGTGCTGTACCAGTGAAGACTGTATCACCTTTCCTAAAGCTCAGCCTTTCTACTGCAGTATCTATGGGTCTAGAAAATAAATGAGTGAAAGATTTGCCTTCCCATTACAGTGTTACCATTAGATCATTCAGAGGTCTTTTGCACCTCATCTTTTCAAACTCTCACACTTCCATTTTCTTGAACTTACCTCCTCCCTGTCCAGGTGCTTGGCAACGCTGATCTGCCCACTTTTCGGTTGAATGGCAAAGTGTCCCATTGGATTCCCTCCCACAATTGAATATGCAATCTGATTGTTCATTGCTCCGTCCAGGTCATCAGCTGACACCTATTAGGAGGAAAAAAAAAAGCCCTATGGTTCCTGGTCTAAGATGGCCTTGCTGAGGAAAGGCAGGCGTTAAGACTTCCTTGGCAGTAAAGCAAGTTGGATTGAGCTTTTTTGAGAGGTGGAGGAGGGATGCAAGCAATTTACATAAGTTTCATTCTGCTCTTCTGCCCAAGGAACACCCTGCCTCCCCAGGCCTCATGGATGTTGGGCCTTTTGCAGTTATTTGTCTTGTTGGGATATCCCCAAGCTTCTGTGTTTTTTCTTGGGTGTCTTAGGCTTTCATTTAAAGGTTGCCTTCTAAGGCTAAATGCCCTCCATGTCCATGATATATATAATAAATGCTGGTAATCATCCTCTTTTAAGTAACGACTGAATTCTAAGTGCTGAATGCCACAACCCTGCTCTCTGTGTCAATCCCAGTGTAGGCTATTGAAGATGAGGGTCCCCTTCTCATTCAGGTATATATTGAGGTATCTCTGTGCAAAGGCAGAGCAAATATTGTGTAACATAAGAGAAAAAGACATCTGGCCTGGTTCTTCATCATACCGTGAGGATGACTTCTCCAATTGCAGCATCCTCCCGGATATCAGCAAAGTAAGGGTCTTGGATGAATTCCGGCGCGTGGTCATTGATGTCAGTGATGTTGATTACCACCATGGTGACATCACTCAGAGAAGCTGATCCCTTCCTTGTCCCCTCAATGGATAGATAATACTCATGACTGGCTTCGAAGTCCAAGCTTCCATTTATGTATAAGGCACCTGCATTGGCAGATAGATTGAAAAAAAAGGGCAGAAGATGCTCTGAATAGATAATGTAAGGATTCTTGGAATAGTGCAGGTTTATTGAGATAATTGCCAAACTGCCACCAGATAATCACAGAATAAGGTGCAACTGACCTTTAAATACCACCTGGTTAAATCAAGGTATTGAAAATCTTGGCACCCCATTAAAAAAGGCTATAAGCACACTGATTCAAATCAGGCCTTAAGGGACTTGGCTACTAAAATTAGTATAGAAGACTGTATTCCCTGTCCCCTACAGTGTACGCAGTATAGAGGCAGAAAAGATTTGTGGCCAAGATTGACTAATTGGGAAGATTAGGGGAAAATCTTCTTTAAAGAGCTGACGTTCTTTTCCCCAGCCCTCCATTCTGACATGCACATGGACACCCTTCAGTAAGAAACGGGCAAAGAGAAAGATGCAGGACACGTGCAGGTGGGATGGGATTGAAAGAAAATAGGAAAAGATCTTCAGAGAAAGATAAGGAGAAAATAGAGGGAAGAAAAGAAGAAAGCAGTCTACAAATCACATATGCAGATCAGTAACAAAAGCCAAAGGCAAGAAAAGAAGTGCAATACTATAAAATGGCTGAAGTGAGAGAAGAAAAGAACAGGGATAGTGCAAACCAAATGGAGAAGATCAAGAGAGGAGCAGACAGGAACAGCTGTTGATGATGGGCCAGCCTGGACCTGCCTGGCCACAAGACCTTCTTACCTGTGTTTGAGTTGAGTTGAAATTTCCCATGGTCATTGCCATTCACAATTTCATACTTAATCTCTGTGTTTTCTGTGTTATCCCTCGTCAATGTTGACAAGTTGAGAACTTCCGTGCCCACAGCAACATCTTCTTTTACCATGGCCACATACTCAGGGGCCAGGAAAACAGGCAGATACTCGTTTAGATCCACCACAGAGACAGTAACAGTGCCAAAAGCAGAGAGGGGCTCTGGGGTGCCTCGGTCTGTAGCACGGACAGTCAGCTCAAACACGGAGTGCTGGGTGTCCTTTAGAGGCTTCTCCAGACGAATCACCCCTGTTGTTTCCTCAATTGAAAAGTGTCCGTTGGCAGAATCGGAGAGAGAATAGACAACCTCAGCATTGAGACCTGAAAAGATACCATAGCAGACTGCATTAATCTATGGTGGGAATGTTGCTGTTTCTTTTTCCTTTTTTTTTTTCTTTTTCTTTTTTTTTCCTAAGGGAAACAAAAGCTGTAGTAACATCTCCTTCAAGTGTACTTCTGTCCACCTACAGATTCAATTATCTAGGCTCAGTATCAGCTATCAGCATCACCTCTCTGTATGTACTGGTGCTTCTCATTTTTTATTCCTTTATTGGTAAACTTATTTCCCATTCAAAAGCAGATAAATACTAATTTGTTTATCTATCACTGTAAATTCAATCTTTGCTTTGGAGGTTTAATGAAAAATCTCCTCTTAGGAGCCTTAGCTATTCTTTTTGAGAATCTGAAATCACAGGAAAAAAAAATTCTATCTTCAGAAGGACCATTTCATCTATTCATATATTCCCTGCAGATCCAAAGTCTCCTGTCTTCCCTATTGGGCAGATCCTCAATCTCCATCTTTAGGATGAAGTTTGGGTCCAGGATAGAATTTGTTTTACAGTCAGTTGTTTGACAATACGGTTTTGGAATGTGTCCTTAATGTCAGTCTGTCTGCATGTTTCTACAAATATTGCAATTCCCTCGGGGTTTCAAGATGCTGATGCCAGCCCACAAGTCAGGAACGTGTCGCTGATGAGATTCAGGCATTTGTCTTTGCCAAGATTCAATCGTCTATGCCCATTTCTGCAACCCTTCCCTAGCTTTTAAAGGTTCCTATTCAGGATGAAAGATGAACTCTAGTAAAAAAAAAAAAAAAAAAAAAAAAAAGATATCTCATTCTGACTCACCTTCATCAAGGTCCCTGGCAGCAACCACAGCTATGGGTGTCTTTGTTGTGGTGTTGTCAAAAACAGCCACAGCGCAGTGACTGGGGGAGAATCTTGGTGAGTTGTCATTCGTGTCCTCTATGATAAGTGTAACGTCTGCCTGGCAGGAACGGCCTCCACCATCTGTTGCTTTGGCAACAAGATGGTACAGAGGTTTCTGCTCCCGATCGAGAGGTGCCGAAGTGGTCAGCTCCCCTATGGGAAATAACAGGAGATGATCTTGTCTCTTGCAATGCAGTTGCAGTCTTGGAGAGCGTGGAGAGGTTCAAACATATGGTCATTGTGACTGAACTCTTGGAGACAGCAGACTGGGTTTGAACACCAGTTCTGATCTGGTTGATAGCAGTGATGTGTCCATGCCACATTGCTCAGAGCTATTTTCAGATCATTACAAGACAGGACTTGGCACAAGGATTCTTATAAGTCAGGCTGAACTTTATACAAGGGATATCGTCATGGGATATGGATGCTCATAAATTGTACTTTATCACCTTTGTAAACTCTGCTGAATTAAGCTTCCTGCAATGCAATGAACCCCAAGTGATCTCTGGAAGTATCAGTATATCTATTTGGAAAGCAGGAACCAAGCAGGAAACCAAGATCAGGAAATGCACTTTCAAGATCACTAAGACTTTTCTATAGAGTTTAGACCAGAACCTTTAACTTAATCAGTGCTTAGTCAGTGCTTTAGTACTTTGCCTATGTCTCCTCCTTGGGGCCAAGTTGTTAACATTAGTGTCTGCCCTTAATTTTCACAATGTTGGTGGCAAACATTTGTAAAGAAAGATAGCAGGAAGACAGAGCAAGTATTCCTGTATACCACAGTGCAATAAAACTGCTGCTTGTCATCTCCTGCTAGCTTGGAAAAGTTAGAATGAGCAGTTTTCATTTACTCAAGAGGAGAAAAGTGGTGAGCCATGACTCGGAGTTAATATCTCTCTGGATGGGTAAGGAAAAGAACAAAGGATCCCATTTCCCTTCTCCTGCCTTGGGGCAGGGCCAAATCTCACCTGTATGTGGCCCCAGCCGGAACTCCTCTGCTCCGGGGCCGTGCAGGCTGTAGGTTATCTGGGCGTTGCTGCCAACATCAGGGTCAGTTGCTGATATCTTCAGAATGAAAAGATCTGGGGGGGCATCTTCAGAGACTCTCCCAGTGTAGAATATCTGGCAAACACAGAAGGCTTCTGATTTATCTCCCAAATACCTTCACTTTCCCTTAGTTAATAAGGGGAAAACAAGCTAGCAGAACTTTCATAGAAAACAATAAACAACATGGTTTACAGTGCAGCATGTGTCCAAGGTCTTGCTGTTGTGAGAAAACCATAGTATCAGGATATATGAGTGCAGACTGGAAGACAAGCTTGTTACATTTGATATTTTTAAAGCCCCACTCGAGGCAGCAGCCAACTGTGAAAATAACAGTTCAGGAAGAATGTAGGTCACTTGGAGAGAGGTTCCATGATCTACAAAATGTGGCCTATGGTTGACTTAATCAGGGCTCTTTAGCTTAAAAAAATGTCAGAAATCATCTTATGATGATGCAGTGAACCTGAGTAGCAGATTACAAGGGATGACTGCGAACCACCATCCCTGTCTCTAAGAGCAGGTTAGACACAACGTTTTGATAGATCCAATTTGGTCTGGGACCAGAGGATGGAGTAGCTGACATTCTGAAGTCCTTTTAAACCTGATGTTTCTTTGTTAGCAAGTGTTAAAAGATAGATTTAAACTCTGTTATCTTAACTGTTATAGTTATGCGGGAGCTGTGGTGATGCACTCGTTTCACACAGGTCTTTGCAAGTTTAGGAAGTGACCACTTCTCTTGTTTATCACCTCAAGTGAAATCTGTAGCAATGATCTGCTCTTTGCATAGTAACAAACCTCCTGATGGGAATCTTTTCGCTTAGCAGAATATAAAGTTTGGTAATTTACATGCCATGACCCAGGAGGCTTCCTGGCATTGTTTATCTCCAAGAATTATCCTTCATAATGCTTAGGCACTCATTTACTGCTGGCAAACATTGCTTGGAGGCTAAATTTAATGTTCTTGCTTGACGTACAACTTAAAGTGCTAAGCACAATCAAAGCAACAGGATTGTGTGAGAAAAACTATGACAAGCCAAAACCTCTTAACATGCGCTCTTTCTGTCCTGTCTTCTCTCTGTTACTTTCTCTCCTTCTCAGCTGCTCCCTTATGCCCCATAACATACCAGGACAGATGTCTTACCTGACCACATTCAGGGCTGTTGTCATTGATATCCAGAACGAAAATCTCCACTTCAGTGGTAGCCTGAAATTTTCCATCAGAAGCCATAACCTTGAGGAGATATTTCTCTGTATCTTCTCTGTCCAGAGGCTTCTTAGAAGAAATTGTCCACTCTCCTTCAATTTGGTCAACTGTGAATTGTCCTAGTACATCTCCTTCTAGAAGGATACAGGTGCCAAGATGAAGGGAAAAAAGCATTTACATGGTGCTGAAAGCCTGAAGTGATAAGACAGGGTTGTTCACTCCCAGTCTTTTGAGAGCCAGAGGGCTTGCAGTGATGATACAGAAAGAGCATTGGGATTGTACTGGTTAGCTGGGGAGCATTGGACTCTACTGCACACCAGACCCTGAGAAATATGCTTCATGTTTCTGTTATTTACTCTCTCAAACCTACAATGGGGAGAGGAAGGGGTTGGAAGGAGGGAGCAGCTCCTAACTGCAGGAATGTCTGTGTAATGTTCTGCAGACATGCATACTAGTTGCCACAAAACTCTGTTCACTGTCACTCTTCTAAAGAATGTCAGTCTGTCTTGGTGTATGTTCTGAAGGGAACCTGAGAGTTATAAATATCCTGCAGGCATTTGTTGGGTTACAGGACCATGTTTAGTTTCATTTGCTTCAAGCTGTAGATGCATTTAATATCTAGCTCCATTGTCTGAGGCTACCTTTTGATTTTATAAGGGTCAAATTTTGAGATATCCAGGTAAGTCCAGGCTATGCAGGCTCTCCAATCCACTAGCTTCATGTCTTTCCTTTGCTGCTAGACCAAGCGGATTGTAAAAGGGGTAGATGCCACCCCTGGAGAATCTCCTCTGGCAAAGAGCTCGTGTCCTCTGCTAATTAGGATGACGTGGTTGCAAATCTGGAAGCACCAGGAGGCCTTTGTTAGCCCTTCTTTTGACACTGGGAAAGACTAACCCAAGTTCATGTTCAGTTTCCTGCATTTGAAATTAAGGTACATATGAGATAGCTGCTTTACAGCCCTCACTATAATCCCAGCAGGGCCATTGGGAACTTTTTGGACAAGGTGGACCTTAGGTCTTCCTGATGCAACTCACCTGGAAGTGGACTAAGAGCCTGAATTCTGGATAGAACAACTTGTGGTGTGACACCAGAGCCCTGGGCCTGCTTCCCATCACAATGCCCATGAAAGGGACAGACAGGAAGACCTCTTCCAGCAATTCTCTGTCTTTGGGGAAACAGTTTGTGGTCTTGGACAGATCTCCTCTCTGTAGCATTCCTTCCCAAAGTATTGGGAAAGTTTGGGGACTTCAGTAACGGACGAGTGGATGGACATGAAACTGATACACACTTTCCTAGGCTAGTGCTGGAAGTGTCTCTTCTGCTTGGGTCTGAAGGGATCTGAGCACTGGGAAATTAGGCTCCTTGTTCACCCCTTAGGTTTTTTGGTACAGTGCTATATTGCAGTTGTACTTATGTATTTATCGTAAGTACGAAGCAGAGAGAAGGTATGTTAATCATCACTGACATAAATGTGCACCTTTTCATATTTGAAATAAGTAGAAGTTACTAATACCTTTAAAACAGCAAAAATGCTGTTATAGAAATGAACTGAATCTTTTGTCTCAAAGACTAACAAATACCTAGGCATGTCATAAAGCAATTGAAAGTACCAGCATTCTTCTGTTTTGAAAAGTTATAATGATAGATAACAGGCTATAGCATGATCAGACTTTGACCCTGAAGTGCCTTGCTGAAGTTGGAAAAACAAAAATTTTAATTTGAAGTATTTGTTCCAGGCTTGAGAAAGACACTATGGGGTCAAAAAGTACCATAAATTCAAGTTTCTGCTTGCACAGAAGCATGGTGAATGTTCCAGTGTAACCTATTTTGTTGTTTTAGACTAGTGGTTAATTTTAGTTGGCACAACTTATGCTTCAGGGATGCAAGAGCAATCTTTAGTATTTCTTGCTGGTCAAAAGTTTCACTAAGATTGACATAAGAGTCTCAAATATCTGCCAGTCTGCCAAGTGGTTAACTGCAATCTGCTCCATATATTTAAGGATAGATTTTTTAATAAGTCAGAGGTAAAGTAAAACACATCCTTATGCACATATACAGTTATAAAAAAAACATATGCAGAACATAGGTGTGTAATTTGTAAACTGAGGGCAGTGTTTTCAAAAAAAAATACATATATATATAGCTCAGCATCAATGTGAAAGAGACTTTCCTTCCAGCTGTATCATTGTTTGTGTCCATGCAATAGGCATTACAATTGCATAGTCATAATTATTTAGCTAATAAGAAAGTGTGCATAAATATACCTACAATATAGTATAATTACTTATATAATTTTGTGTTTATTTATGTCCAAATAAATATGAAAGATACATTTCCTTGTTCCAGTGGGACTATTAATATAATGCTATTTGTACTAGAGACTATAAAAACCAAGCTTGGACATGACTGTAATAAGTCTTGCCCACTGAAGAGTAAAAGGTAGGAAAATCTTACCAGTTATGTAGCATGTGACGCGTCTGTTCTGCTCTGAAATATCTGCGTCGATGGTGCTCAGTGTGACAACAGCTTGCCCTGGCTCTGCATTCTCAATTACCGACCCTTTATAGAAGTCTGAGGTGAACTGTGGAGCATTATCGTTTTCATCAGAGACAGTGACCTCCACCAGGGTTTGGGAAGAGAGCTGGACTTTCCTGCCATGGTCAGTGGCCACCACATAAAAGCGATAGATCTCCTGAGCTTCACAGTCCAGCTCTTTCAGCGTGGTGATCCACCCGCTCTCACCATCAATGGTGAAGAGTCCTCGGAGGTTTCCCAATTCTGCTTCCAAACTGTAGGTTACCTGTCCATCGTTTCCTGTGTCCTGGTCATTAGCTGTCACTTGAATGACAGTGGTTCCTGATGGCATGTTCTCCATGACAAAAGCTTTATATGGATCTGCCTCAAAAACAGGTCTGTTGTCATTGACATCCTGCACTTGGATGTTCACAGAGACCAGTGAGACAAGCTCAGTCTCTTGATGTGAGCAGTGAGCCATAACATCAATCTGGTACCACTTGGTGGTTTCATGATCCACAGTCTTTTTGATTTTCAGAGCCCCTGTTTTCTCATCCAGTGTGAACACCTCATCCTTGTTACTTTCTGTAGTGGTTCCCTTTACCAGACTGTATATAATGGGATCCTCTGCAAAAGCTTTGACTGACCCTATTTCTGATCCTTCCGGAAGGTCCTCGGATGCTGAGAATGTATAAAGGGGCTCAGAAAACCTTGGCAATGTCACCTCCCGGGGAACAATCTGAAGATTCACTGGGACAAGGGAGTTCCAGTGAGGGGGTCTGCCATCCTCAGCTTTCACCTTGAAGTTAAAGGCTCTGTTTTCTAAACCAATAAGGCTCTCCTTGACCTTAACAACCCCAGTCGCAGCATTGATCTCAACAAGGTCTTCTGACACATCTTCCACAGAGTCAACAGAGTAAATCACATCTGCATTTGCACCTTCATCAGCATCATAAGCCAGTACCTGAATGACAGGGGAGCCTTTGCTCACATTGGACTGGATGGACAGAGTGTATTCAGAGGCTTTAAACTGAGGGGGATTGTCATTCTCATCTGTAAGGATGATTTTGACAGTACAGAATGCCACCTTCCCGCCACCATCCTTGGCCATGACTTTAATGGCAACAACTCTTTCCGTAGAGTTTTCCCTGTCCAGTTTTTGCAGTGTGGTTATATGGCCTTTATTATCTATGGAGAACTTCTCCTGTGCAAGTTTATTTATGATAGTGTAATCTATGGTGCCATATGGACCACCGTCTGGATCAATAGCTAGCAGCTCAATCACTTTGGTGCCTATCTCGGCATTTTCTGCCAGTTCTGCCTCGTACATGTTCTGCTGAAAAGATGGGCTGTATTTGTTGGCATTTGTGGTATTGATGTAAACAGGCACAGTGCTCTTGAAAACTCCATCTGAGGCAGAAACTCTGAGGTTGTAGGATGACTCCATGTCTTTTCTGCAGCGGTTGAACATAGAGATTATTCCAGAAGTGCTGTTGATGGTGAAATGCCTGTTGTCATTACCGGAGAGTATCACATATTCCAGGCGGGTGGTGTCTCCGCTGTCAGGGTCCAGGGCCTGGACTTTTACCACGATGTGTCCACACGTTGCCATTTCGCTTACCTTGGCTTCGTACTGCAGCTGGCTGAACTCGGGGGGATTGTCATTGATGTCTGTCACATCTGTAATTACCAGGGCATCACTGCTAAGGGGAGGTATCCCATGATCTACAGCTCTTACTTTGAGGCGAAACTGTTGGTTTCTCTCATAATCAAGTGCTTGGGCTGTTGTTATTTGTCCTGTGCTGGCATCAATATTAAAGAACTTTGCACTATCTGAACCATCATCCAAGATCTGATAGGAGATCATTTTGTTTCTTCCTGAATCTTTGTCAGAAGCAGAAATTTGGACAACAGGGGTCTGTGCAGGCAAACTTTCTGAGACTGATGCTGTGTAGATCATCTGAGAAAATATGGGGGGGTTGTCATTAATGTCCTCTACCTCCACCTCTACTATGGCTTCAGAAAAGGATCCTAGTGCTGTGTCTGTGGCTCTAACAGTGAACGTATGTTTCGTTTCTAGTTCATAGTCCAGTTGGCCTGTGACAGTAAGGACACCAGTTTTGAAGTCAGCGCTGAACAGTTTCAGGGCATCTTCTTCCATGATGTTGTAGATGAGACGTAAACCTTCAGGGCTGCGGGCTTGTATGTGGAGGATAGATGTATACAGGGGGATATTTTCTGGCACCCTCACTCGGTAGTAAAAACTTTGGAACAGAGGATTGGATTTGTTCCTTACACTGATCACAACCTCTTCTTCAGCTTGGAGAGGAGGCTCACCTCTGTCCTTAGCAATGACTCGAAGGTTGTACTTATTTAAAGCCTGATAATCAAGAGGTTTCTTAAGTGAGATGTCTCCTAGATAGGGGTCAATCCAGAAATACTTGTAGTCCTCTGCAAATGAGTAGGTAATGGCTCCATTATCCCCTATGTCTTTGTCTGTTGCTGACACCTGAAAAAGTACATCACCCGGCTCTGTACCATCCTGCACTGAGGCATAGTATGGCACATTCTCAAAGTGAGGTGCATTGTCATTGACATCCTCTACAAAAACTTTGACTGTGGTTTGGGACACTCTTGGTGGTTTCCTAGCGTCCTTCACTTCCACAGCTACCTCATGCATGTCTTGTTTTTCACGGTCAAATTTCACGCCCTTTGTCTGGAGTACTCCAGATGCCTGGATCATTTTGAATCTTTCCTTCCCATTCAAAAGTGAGTAGAAGAGTGGTTCATTTAGCTGATATCCCTTTACCCCGAGAACAGCGAGCGTCTTCTGATCTGTAGAGTTCTCTATCACAGTTGCTGTATACACATCTTGACTGAATTTTAAGCCAGTACCTTGTGCACGAGTTAAATTTAGCTTAACTTGTGCAGTGCTTTTGTATAAGCCATCCCCGGCTCTAACTGTAAGTTCACGATAGCTTCCCAGGCCAGTAGAATTAAGAATGGAGATGAGACCTGTGAGTGGGTGGATATAGAACGCATTATCAAGGTTCCCTTCCACAATGCTATAGGTCACATCTGAATCTGCATCTTTTGCTTGCACTGACAACAGCTCCATCCCTGAGTGGGCAGGTAACAAGACAGAAAGTTCATAAATGTCTTTGAAAAACACTGGAGGTGAATCATTCACATCTTTAACATGGATTGTGACCTTGGCTGGCTTGGATGCAAATAAGCTGGGATTTCCACTGTCGTGGGCATGTACAGTGAATTTGAAGACTGGGGTGAGCTCATAGTCTATTTCAGCACGACTGGTAAGTGTCCCTGTGCTGGGATCTACTGTAAAATACTTCAGTGCCTCTGGTTCCAAAATTTCATAGACCAGCAGAGCGTTGGAGTCTTGATCAGCGTCTGTTGCGTAGGTCACCAGTGGAGCATTGCTCTCATCTAGAACCATGCTTTGTGAGGGAGCATTCTCCATGATCCAGCCAACAAAGGAAGGCTTAATGAAGATGGGCACATTGTCATTCTCATCTATGACATAGATAAGTACCGTTGTGTCCATAAAGGCCCCAGCCATGTTGGTGCAACGGACTTTCAGTTGGTAAAAAGAAACTTGCTCAAAATCCAAGCTCTTCTGAGTGGAAATCAGGCCTGACTGATAGTTCATGGAAAACACTCCATCTTCATTTCCATCTCTTATTTCATAGCTGACTGGTGACAAGCTTGCAGCTGAAACTTGGATCAGAGGAGAACCAACAGCAGTGGACTCGCTGATCTCTGCGATGTATTCAGCCTCTGGAAATTTTGGAGGAGTCCTGTCAGAGGGTCTAATGTGGACGTGAATGGTAGCAGAATCTTTAAGCTGCGGGAACCCTTGATCTTCTGCCTTTACAATAAGAGTAAAGCGGTCTTGCTTGGATGGGTCCAGTTTCTGGGCGACTGTAATAATTCCGGAATGTGGATCGATACTGAAGAAATCTTCCCCATTACCTGCAGTAAGAGAAATAACAATGTGAAGCATGAGGATATTCTCTTGGTATTGAGTTTCTGAGTCTCTTTTGCATTGATGCTCTTTATTTCTGACCAAGTAATTTACAAGAAACAGATGATTAGTGCACTGACAGACAGCATGCTATCTTAATTAATTTCTAAATAATTTCTAGTGGTGCATTTCTAAATATTTTAGTGGTGGTGCATATGCTTGAAACTTTTGCCTAATGTGCAGAACATAGTAGCACAGAATCTACTAATTTCTTCAAGCCCTGTCATGCTTGTAATTACCAATACTTCATGAGCAATTAAATTTCTCAGTACTTGATCTAAATTGCAGTGAGAAAGATGGAACAAAAGCTGGTTCATATCCCACAAAGAGTTTGTTCTAAATAGTCAGTGTGACATAGTCATATTTACTTCTGTGTTAACATTTATTGTAAGAAATTAGTTGTTCACCTAGACTGTACGGCCTAAAAAGCCCAGCAGTCTTTGCTTCGAAAGGGGTGCTCCACTTTTCTCAAGGACATATTTCTTGGTAGAACTGGTGGAAATGATAATGACTAGATGATAATCACTAGATGGAGACTCATCTAGTCCAGTGTCTATGTAGGTGGATCCTATAAAATAGAGAAAGCTGGTCAATTCTGCCTTGTTGCATGACTCTCACCTGCCTGTAGAGAATAGTGAATTTCAGCATTGGCTCCTTGGTCTGGATCAAGGGCTCTGACTTGTATAACCTCAGTGCCCAATACTGCAGAGTCCAGCACTTCTGCTTCATAATGGATGCTGCTGAACTGTGGAGGGTGAAGGTTGCTGTTCTCCACATGGATGACAATCCGAGCAAAGTTCCTCTTGATGGGGACCTCCTGGTCCCGTACCTGAAGGGCGGAGAGGAAGAACAGGTATCATCCCACAGACACAGGCTGCCTTTCCTGCACCTGGTTTCCAATAGCTCATGAGGATTGTTACAGAGGCTGGTGCTCTTCAGCTGCACCAAGCCTTCAGATGGCAGTGAGCCTGCAAGTTTCAGAGCCAAAGCACAGCTTTGGAACTGAAAGGGCCTGGATTAATATCCTTGGAAGGAACACTGCATACTTTCCTTGTTCTTATATTCTTCCTGACTACCTGCTGTTGGCCACTGACAGAGACAGGATACTGGGTGAAATGGTTCTTTGTTACATCTGATATAGCTGTTTTTATAGTCTTATGCTCCTATGTTTCCTCTAGCATAGGGGACAAATAGCAAGTTTTTAATCTGAATGAGAACAGCTGCAATCTGCAATGAGACCTACTCAGAATATTATATAGTAAAAGTTAACCCTGCTTTCATCTTCTCTGTCATTTGAGACAAAATCTCTGACAAAGATTAGAATATGTCTGAATTTTTCAAGCAACCTATGTTGCAGTTATACCCTTGCTAGGCTGATGGATTTAGGCTAAGACTCACCATCACTGTTAACGTGTGCTGTGGCATGGGCTGGGAACTAAACCCTTCTGCTGTTGTGAGGACTCCACTGCTTGGATCCAACTGGAAAAGTCTTGTGCTTTTGGGGTCCATGCTGCCATGGATGGTGTATATGAGCCCTTTCCCTTTGTCCTTGTCTGTTGCGCTGACTCGAAGGATTTCTCTCCCAGAGGGTGTATCTTCAGGAACTGTCACCTCGTAATGGCTTTCCAGGAACTGGGGACGGTGCTGGTTGATGTCAATCACATGGATAAAGGCCTGATGGGGAGATGACACAGTGAGGGCAGCAGAGACTTGAGAGCAACCAGAGTTATGTATCCATGCAAAATCACAGCTACTAATCACTCCTGGGTGGAGTAGTGCTCTGAGCTGTGTAACCATCAGAGTCCTTTTCAGTTCTTGGGGTTTTGCCATCCTTAGTGACTGGCAGCCCTTTCATACCTTTCTCAGAGGATCACCTGCTGTGCTTTTCTTTGGTATTTTTTGATTTGCTTTCTTTGCTTTTGTTATTCTCTTCAGTCAGCAAAGCCATGCATAGTAAACATGCCTGCACTTGGCACTTAGGGAAACCTTCATAGTTTGCCCTATAAAGTAGTACTGTCTTAACCAGGGTACCAGGCTTTGCTTGGCATTTGCTAATGCCTCCACACTGACAGAAGGGAAATCTTTGGTAGAAGAAGGGAAGTGATGACACATCTCAGAAGCAGAACATGCATGGAGAAGGTATGTAGAAGCAAAGCTTGCAGTATACACTTAGTACAGACAAATATTCCCTTCTGAATTTAACAGCAAATACCTTTGGGTGGACAGCCCTAGTCCTGCTTGCCAGGTTGTCTGGTTCCTTCTATTTGTTTTTGTACCTTGACTGTCCCCTACTGAAGTGCTGACTGCCTATTAGGAAGTCCCAACCAAGTGTAGTAATTTGCTGCTTTTAACAAACCTGAACATGCCATAGGTGTTTTGCACAAACAAGTTTGTTGACATGTGCCAGTGCCTTTGAGAGCCAAAATAAACTTGGGGATGAGATGCAAAGTGGCAGGGAATGCACATCAGGCAAGGCCAGGCTCTGTTTGTTTGTTTGGAATATTACTTTAAGATAGTTGAGATAGGCATCCGTTAGCACTGTATTTCACAGGAATGGTAGTGTTCTTCATTCATCAGCCCTCACACACCTCTGCAATGAGTTTCCCACGATAAGTGTTAACTCGTAGGTGACTCATGATCTTCCTCCATAGACTGAAGGTTGGATTTTTAGTTTCTTGCGTATGGAGAAAACAGCTGGTGAAAGATCAAGCCCTGAACACCCTTCCTAAAGATAGCTAAATATGGGAGAACCCCAGCAGTGTTAGGAACTGGGGCTCAGGGGCATGCTTGAGTGCAGCAAACTTCCTTTCACTGGTGCTTCTCACCCAGTAATTCAGAAGACTCAGCCTTTCTGTAGTAGCCTCGAACAGCCCTTTGGATCTCTGCTGTTATGCTATAAATACTCCATGCATTTGGAGCCAGACAAGGCAGGGCCTGACATCATCTCTTATAGAGGCATCTGTGCTCTCTTTACACAGTCCACCAAGTCCTGAGAACACCATTAGATGTGCCCCTAGACATGCGAGTACAATCTAGCTGTATTTTAAGTCTGTTATTCCAACCAAGCTGCAATTTAATCTGAGCAGCTGAGAGCTGGTTGAGGACCGAGTGTATAAACTGGCACTTGGCTTGTTCTGTAAACAGATTGGCTGTGATCATCAGGAAGGAGCTGGGCTTTCCAAGGCCCTGTGTGTTTCCAACAGCCTGAAAAAATTCTCAGCTTGAGATTTCAAAAAGACTCATGTCCCTCTGTAATGGAAGATCACAGTGTAATGAGATTCTTATGCCTAACACCTGACCCAGAGGTCCATGGAAATATTCCCCTTCGCTTATTTGCTCTAGATTTGGTCTACTACAGTGAAAAGCATTACCTGGGTTTTGATGGTAGTGGACCCATCAGTGACTTCTACTGTCAGATTATAGCTTGACTTCTTTCTGGCATCAAGGGCTCTTGCAATGACCATGCTGCCTGTACTCTTTTCAATATCAAAATCCATGTCATCATCACCACCTGTGATAAGGGAGAGGTTAGAAAAGCAAACAGGGGAGAGCAAGTCTGCAACAAGCTGCAGGTTACTGCAGCCTCTGCAGGGAAAGGAATTACAGGAACTGGCTAAAGATCTAAGCATGAGGACCTGGAGACTGTACACAAACCATAGACCGGGCTTATATCCAGATACAGAAGTATGTGGCATGCCAGACAATACACCTTGAGCAGTGATGTGCTGGCATTCATACTCTGGCCACAGGCAATTTGGGGATAGCGCCATTGGTGAGGTCTCCCCCAGTTCTAGAAAGTCATGTCTGTGTCTTTTGATGGACTTTGTGATGCGTTTTTGAGGGATGGAAACACAAGGCAGGGAGGACATGAAGAAGTTGGACAAAGAGGGAATCAAAGAGAGACAAAGGAATATGAAAGAACACAGAAGAAAGATGGGGGAAAGAAAAGAGGGATGAGAGAGAAAAAGATACTTATGCATATGGTATCTTGGCTAGATTTGCAACAGACACATAAGCCAGTGTCTGAATTTGCACAAAATCTCCAGCTAGGCAGCATCAGAGGCTTAGCATGCATCAGAGTCCTGCAGTGCTGAACAAAGCTCCTGCTGGCTTGCAGTCAAGGTCACAGCACAGGCATGTCTGCAAGGGTCTCCCTCGTCACAGCTGGGAGCCTGGAAGCTGGTGAAGAAAGCCCAGTACCTGGACAGTTGGGGAGGCAGACGGTGCTTCCGGGGGAGCAAAGCTTGATGCCTCCATCCCAGATGGCTGCACAGTGCAGGAAACCACAGGCCTGAGCAGCTCAGCAGCAAAAAGCTGTTCCTCCCGTTACCACCCTGGTGTGGTAGCTTCTTCCTCATGCCTCACTTGCTGCTTGCCTTCTCTATTGCATTTGAAACACCAAAGCACTGCTCTCTCTTCTGCTATTTATGTCAAGTTCCTGCTTTTCCATTTCTGGCTACCAGATATGCTGGGTTCTGCCTCGTTCTTCTATCATGTGGGAAAATCCTGTCTGGCTGTTAAATTACACTTCTCCCCTTGAGAGAAATGCAGTGGTTGCTAGCTATCTGGACCACTATTTTCTGTCAGAAATAGACAGAAAGTGGAGGCAGAGCAAGAGGAGGATACTGTGGATGCCTTCCCCCAAGCTGTGAGAGAAGGGCTCCCTACACATGGTGCCAAGTGGAAAAAGGAGGCCAGAAGGGGCCTCCTGGCATTATCTGGCATTCTACTAATGCCAGACAAGCCTTGCACTGACATTGCCTGTGCTGTGCTGCGTTGTATGTTTTGATGTTTAATTGTATTTATACACCATCCCTGCCCTAGCATACTAACAGGAAAAACAATTTATTTACCCAATTAAGGCTTAGTGTGAGGAGGGCAAGCCCTGCAGGCAGTGTCAGAGAAAGAGGCTGCGCAAGGTAGATTGGGGTACCACTTCAGAACATCAAATTGCATAAGCACAATTGGTCCACGTTAGCAGGACCAGTTCTGCACACGGGCTGCCTGACAAGTCCCCTGGGGTGACAGCCCACGTCCCCTCTGCCCTGGCATCGTGTATCTCAGAAGAGACCCTCGAGTCGCTTCACGTTTCATGTGTAAGTCATCTCTGGGGTGCCATGAAGTGGAAGCAAAAGGCTCACTGGTCAAGTCAAATCTGTTTTTGATGGAATCCTTCCCCCTCAGCTCCTTCTTGAGACTGTGGGCTTGGGAAGAAGAGATGGGGCTGGCCTGCAAGATGGGAATTGCAAGACTCATGCCAGCCACTTAGATCTTACCTATTTTACTACCAGCCAATAAATATTTTACAGCCCTTGTTTCTCAGGAAGAGCTGGGGTTGGCTGTGTGCTACTTTTCAGGAATACTGGAGAACACCTCAGCACTCGCAGGCACCAGAATGTCATTTTAAAAGTGTATTAAGTAATTGCACTTGGCACAGGAGCCCTTAGACAGGCAGCTTTACCTCTTGCTGCTTAAGCCTTTCAATGTCTATGAGAAAGCTTTTGCTGAAACTCAGCTACACCTAAAGCAAACAACTTTATTAGCTCAGGCATGCAAGTGCTCAACACCAAGGGAGCTGGGGCAAGCTCTCCCAGACGTTGTTGTGCTGGTTTAATTTTTGTCTCACCTGTGATATTAAACCACACTTGGCTGGGGCCCATTTCAATGCTGATCACTCCCACCATGTGGTTCACAGGATCTGTTTCCATGACAGCAAAGTTAAAATGGGGCTCATCAAAAGCCAGAGGCTCTGAGGAAGGGCCCGGGCGGGCAACCCAGCTGATGTGGAGTCGCACGTGGGAGGAAAGTGGTGGGCTCCCTCCATCTGTTGCCTTGACCTGCAGAGAAATGCAGGCATGGTCAGGGAGAAGGGCTGGTTTTATTGTCTCCTATGTTAACCAGGGCTGGCTGGACTTCTCAATGTCCTGCTCTAAGCTCCTTCTCTCTCCCGCCAGGAGCTTCAGGTCTGTGCCCAAAATCTCACAAACAGATCTTGTCCCAGTGGGCCCATGTTCTGGCTGTTTCCTAGGTGAGATTGTGCAACTCCAATTTCTCTTGGCTATCAAGATCTGTCAAGCTCAGTCCAAAGCAGAGGCTGGACCACAAATCTCAATGCAAAGACCCACAGAGTATCAGAGAGCATTACATCTGGAGAGCCTTTAAATCAAGGTGCTATGGTCAGACCAGAATGACAAGGGGGGTACCCCTGAAACTCCCAATATGGTTCAGATTCAGGTCCACATCTAGATGGGATGATGGATCACTGTATCCTCATCTGAGAGTGGGTTGGATAGTCTATTTTACATTTTCCCTCCATTTTTTAAAAAATAGCTTCTTACCCTCTGCGTTTCTCCCCTGTCCCTCCCAGTTTATCTCACTAACTTGCCTGTCTCATTCAAACTCTCTTCACGCTGTTGTATTTCCTCCACCTTTTCTTCCTTTTTTCTTTCCCCTCTCTGAAACCTTTGCTGTCTTTCATTCTATATCCACCTCATCCCACTGGTACTCCCCGCTTCCCTCCTCTCACCGTGAGTATGTTGTATTCAGAGGCAGGAAAAGCCTTCCTGGAGAACACCATGCCTGTTGTGGGGTTGATGGTGAATATCCCTTCCTCCTCCTCCTCGATGGTGTAGGTGATCTGGCTGTTCTGGCCCTGGTCACGGTCGGATGCAATCAGCCTGTAGACGGGTAGCGGCGTCTCTGAGGCCTCTCTCTCGGGGAGCTGCACCATGAAGAGTTTGTGGGGAAAACTGGGAGGACTGTCGTTAGCATCGAGGACTTGTATGACGATTCTGCTGGTGGACTTCAGGGTTGGATCTCCGTTGTCTGAAACAGCCACCTGCCAGCAAGCAAAGGCACTAGGTGATGATAGGGATGCTTGCCAGGATAGAGATGTTTGCCATGACCTTGCCTTCAACCTTATGGTAGTGACTAAAAGAGGGGGTTTGGTGTAGTTCTGTGTTTGTATCCCAGCATTTTCAAAGGCATTGCTGCTTTCTACAGGGTAAAATCTAGATGTATCTCCAAGGCTTGTGTAGGTACAAGGAGTGAGTCTGCAGGGTTCTTGCAGGGTCAGACCTCACTAGTAAGCCAGAGTTTTGGTATTCAGGGGTCACACAACTGTGAAAGCACTTTTATTATAGCATCTTTGCAAGTTATCACCCATCCTCACTTAGCTGTGCCTGTGCATGCTCTCGGCGTGTTCCAGTTGCAGAGAGAAGTACATTATTCTCACTCTCATGGACTAAAACACCTTAAGATTACTCTAATGTAAATATGTATAGCTTGGAGCAGCTAAGGACAGAGGCAGGTAAAGCAAAGCTAGAATTTGGTACAATGAGATAAATAAGGGTAGATTTCTCTAGCTTACTCTCTTTCAAGTGATTTATTATCCATTCTAGAGGACAATTCCAGGCCTCTTCCTACATTCCCACAGCTTCCAGAATAGATCTTTTGCTCCAATCTTCACTAAGGAAATAATAAACCCTGCAGTACTTCAGCAGCTGTCTCTTAGGGCAACACACTCCGTTTAATTAACTTTCCCAGCAGTGATGGGATGAAATTCTTTCTCTGTGCTCCAACTTGTAAGGAAAGTTCTTTGAGGACTTAATGCACTTGTAAGTAAATAAAGCTAATTACAATCATCATTACCCACCTCTAGGATATGTTCAGCCTTGTATTCTCGATCCAGCTGCCGTGAAGTTGTAGAAATCAGACCTGCCAAGAAAATAAGAACCTTTGAGCTGCAAGCCTCAGTGTCTGAGGAAAGCCAAGGCTGACTAAACACTGCCCAACACCAGCCTACCTGACCGTGTTGTTTAAAGTTCCCTTCACAACCAGAAAGACACAGATACTTCCAGAGAGCAATTTGTCCACTTCTGGTGTGACTCACTTGGTGGAGGTGCTGCTCTCCCTCCTCTGATTACAGAGACCACAGAGGTGGGGAGGACATCTAACAGTTGCCTGTGTTATTTGGTGGTTGTCAAGGCCTTGTGGTGAGCCCTTCTGGTGAGAAAGGCTGCAGGACGGTGGAAAAAACACTTCACTTATGCCTCTAAGTAAGAAACATTCTGCATGTGTTGGCAAAAGTTTGGCCTCTTAACAAGTCTTGACTCCTCTTTTCTCTGTTTTGAACCTTGTCTTTGTAATTTCTAGTGTTTTGAGAAATTTCATCTTCTTTCTTGGGGAAACACCTTTTTTATAGTATTCTACTGCTAGAACAAATGCATTTACTCTAAAAAATAAGCTGCACTGTTGATAATCACAGTGATTATTTAAGCCTTGTTGAGAGATGGGATGAAATGAATCCTCTAACAATTCAAAGTCTTTCCTTAAGATTTAGGGATTTGTAAGAAATATACACAAGTTTAACCATAGAGGATAGGTGAAGGCAGGAGGGAAAATGTATGACTCTTGTAAAGTAGAGTTTAAATAAAACTGTCATAATTGCCTCTTTTAGGCCTGTCAATCAATGAAGCTCAGTAAACAAAAGTGCAGAAAGGACGGAGTCAAAATTTAGGATTCTGCGTCTGGCTTGTTAGTCCTTATCAAGCACCTCAAGTCTTCACTTCTGGTGAAAACCAGCTCTAGATCATTTTCAGGACATTTTTACAGATGATGGAAATCATGTACAAGAATGATTTCCTGGCAGTGGCGAGTGCTTTTACCCATGCTTGATGCCTTCTGCTGCTGGCACTTACCCTTGTGCTGTTTCTAGCAAGGAGAAGTCCTGCTTTCTCCTGCAAATTCAGTCTGAAAGCAGTGAGAATTGCCTCACAAATGCAATTTTTGACACAGGCTCATGCTGCTTTGGGAAATGCTTTGCAAAGGAGTCGTTGTGCACTTGCAGGGGTGTGAGCATATGTACATGTGCATCTGGCTTGTAAATCAGAGCTGAGCGAACCCACCGCATTGCTCATAGCCAATCCAAAGTCAAAAAAAGCTTTTCATTATTAGTATTGTTTTCAGTTTTATCACAGTTCTTTGGTGTATTGCTGTCTGACTGTGAGAGGCAGGAGAAAATTTCAAATGGCTGCAAGAAATACCAGGCAGCTGAAGGAGCGAGCAGCTGCTTGGAACAAAACTACTCTTAACCATTACCACTTGTTCTCTGGGATTATTCGTCTTTGGCATCAGGCACTACACTAAACATTTATTTGATGCCTTTACAGTCATAAATCAACATTCCTTAATGTGTTATGACAAGATGATTTGAAAGGCTGTGTTTGCATGTATGTCATGGATTTTTTTTCTCCCTAATCTCCCTTCTGACATCTCAGCAGGTAAAGATTCAATAGTGGCCTAAGTGTACACTGACTGAGGAGTTCTGAATCTCTCCCTGGCTGATGGGTGACTGTTTTGTTCCAATAATAGCAAAGCATTTGATGTGCATGAAAGTGCTCTCTTAATTGGGACATAAGCAGAGAACTGTAGCAGGGATTGTTTAAGATCCCTGATGCTTCTGTGTGCATTGCCAGTAGGCTGGATGAGAGAGGACTGAAGTTCCTGCTACTTTTGGTGATGGTTAATATTTTTGACCTAACAGCTGCAGGATACACAGCTGGTACTGGCAGGAGCGCCTCTGAATACCTATGGGGATACTATAGATATTTTTAGTCTACCGCATTGCAAAATGCAATTGCAACAAACTGGCATCATGTGTACACTCCTTTACTGCATACTAGCTGATGGAAGGCAACTTCTTAAACCTTCACTCTAAAGTGATTATTTGGATTTTTCTGGCAACATTTAAATTTTGCCATGCTCTGATAATGAAAATGCAAGAAAAGAGGATCGTAGCCTCTCATCTTGGGCACTAGGGATGCACGACTTCAGTGAAGGCACGTGAACTGGCACATAACTTAAAAAAATAAAAATCACTTAATGCTTATCTTTGTCTGCAACACTTGAAGATGCTCAGGTGTCCAGGAGGAATAAGAGCTGACTCTGCTTCCCTTCACAGACATGTGCCATATCCCTGACTGAGAGTTTCAACTCAGCATTTGTAGGTTTAGCTTCATATCTGTTGAGTTACAAGTCAATATTTTTATTTGTTGCTACTTACACTTTGTTAAGCCCTCTGGCTTAAAATGGAAGTGGAAACCTATTAAAGAGGTACTGCCATCAGCCTCTGTGGGCCAGGGAAACAGTTACTCTCTTTTTTGCTGCTTCCTGGTAGGTCTTGGAACATGTTTGCTTATTTGCTAGAGAGCTGTGTAATTCTGTGTCTTGTGCCTGTGAGGTATCAGTGCATTCCCTGCCCTTTTGGAAAATCAGACTAAACTGTCCAGTGGGTGTCTTATGTTTGTGTTCTTGTAGGTGGCCCTAAAGTGCTGGTGTTTCTGCTGAGACCCCTGAAGACTGGGGAAAAAATAAAATAAAAGGAAGGTCTAATTGGCTTTTCTCAGACAGCTGAGCTCTATATTCACCTGAAGCTCCATAAATGATTCCCTCTGCTGCTTGCATGTAGACAGGCACAAGCCTGCCTCTGGTGACCTGTCTACATGCAGGCAATGGGAAAGAATCGTTTGTGTTCTCCTGCTTGCAGCCTGGAAAGGGGAGAGAGGAAAAGCTGGTCGTGTTGGAACAGGAGCAGCAAAATTAACAGTGCATTGTTGTTAGGGAACAAAAAATAATAACTTTTACTGGCAAGAGCAGGAGTGGGGTGGAGGTTGCTGGCCCCCTGCCCTGGCTGCAGGGAGGCAAATCTTAAGTAGTTAAAATAGCCAGAACCAGGTTTGGAGGCGCTGAGGCTTTTGGTGAGAGCCTGAGAAGGAAAAAGGCTGTTCCCCTGAAATACTTTTTTCTATTGTCCTACTGATATTTTCCCTCTCGCCCTCTCTTCTCTTTCCTTACCATGTCCACTCTTGTTCTGACTCTTCTCTGCACTGCTCCATGCCCTGCTGTAGCCTGTAGTTAGGTTAGGTAGCAGCAGTGTAACTATACTCAGATTTAAAGAACAAGTTGTGTCTGGCACCTTTCTGTGCAGAGAAGCACAGAGACCACCAGGCATCCTTGAGACGTCTGTGGACACAGACTCAGCAAGAGAAGTACCAGAAGAGCAAGCCTTAGAGAGGATAAGAACTGCAGATGAATAAAGCAAGGCAAAAGGATTCTCCAAAACAGCTTTCTGAATGGCTTTGCCTCAACTCTTCCTGCCACCAGCTCCTAATTCCTCCCAGTCCTGTCTGGACTGGAACCTGCTTTACATCATGGACTGCAAATCCAGCACAAAACAGCCTGAAAGCTTTTCCAGCAAAAGAATACCCCAAACCCTGCTATCTCTTCATCTATCTCTCTCTCTGTCTATCCATCTCTCACAAAAGCCGCTGTGCACCAGCTGCCAGGCTGGGCTGGAAAGATTCCATTGCCTATGGCAGAAAGCTTTCATCTCATTGAGCAGTTTTATTCCTTCTTCTCATTAGCCTTTCATTTATTTTCCCTCTTTTTCTCCACCCTCCTTAGGGAACTGAGAGCTGGAAGAGCTTAGAGCTCCTCTACGGCAGTTCAGGACTGCTAGAAGAGCCAAGCCCTGCTGAGGGACAGTTATCACAGCTATTCCTACCTCCTTCCAAGCCCTCAGAAGGAGAAGTCACAGAGCCTTTCTGGGTATGTCTCCCCTGGCCAACCCATCACCAAGCAGATACTAGATCAAATGCAGAATTAGCTGGCTCCAGAACCAGAAACACGTTAGGTACATTAGTGAGGCACTGTGCCCTGAATAATTATCCAGGGCTATTCTGCAGGGTTATGCCTGTTGCAACAATAAATCAGGCACTTAATTCTTAGTAGTGCACAATATGAGAACAAGCTTCTTCCTTCTCTCCCTCTGCTAAGGGGCTTCTACTTGGAGAGACCTTCTGGTAACGCGCAAGGGAGGTCACAGACTGATCTCTGGGGCTCCTCTGCTCTGATTTGCTTCAGTGCTGATGCAACCTGTTTGTCCCCAGGGTTACGGTGTGGGATAGGAGCAGAGGAGAGGTCTATACCATAGTATTCTCTATATGAAGCAGCTTTCTTTCTAACCGAAGTGCTAGAGGAATTCTCGAAAAATGCATATTATCCTACACTTTGCTAAAATCATGTGATTCAGGGCAGCAGTCTCTGTGGTTTCCTCTTGAAACTGTTGCTTGTCATTGAATAATGTGACAGATTCAGCTGAGCTGCATCACAGATAAATCTATACCAGCAGTCTTGCCTACTCAAACTCTTCTGCAGTCATAGAATTTGAGGATGACTTTGGAATAAGTATTGGCAATCTAAATGATATAGATCTTTAGCAGTTCAGGAAGTGAAATGCTACTGGATCTTTTTATGATCATTTCCTCTAACCACTGAGGAAGTAGATGCATTTTTTTTTGTATTTGAAAAACAAAGAGAAATCCTAACTAAAAATCTAGAAAAAATTTAGAGCGCTCTAATAGCGCTATAGCCTTCATAATGCTCAGATATTTGCAGTGCTTTCTTCTCCTTTGTTTAAATGTAGATGAAGTCATTTGGTTTTCACTGCCCTGGGGCAACCCTTTTTGAATTCAACCCTGTACTAATATGAATGATCAGAAACTGAAACAGCAGTGGTTCATCTTCCAACACTCTACTACCAATGGGTACCCCCAGATGAGATCAAAGATTATGTTTTTACTCTGCTTATTGGATGCACTAGCATGTCGAACAATGAAAGTATTATAATGTTTCCAATAAGCTGCTTAAAGCCTAGAAATTTAGGCAATCTATGATATTTTTTTTAACTTGTAATAGCATTAAATGACTTCTCTTCAGATACTGTAAACACTAGCATAGAAACTGCTTAATGTTTGCAGGTAATCATTTGTTTTTTTGGATGACATGCAAGTAAAAGAAGAGACAACTGAGTCCTCATCAGACTTGCAAGGCCTTAAGCAACCTCTAAGCTCGGGTTTTAAAGACAAGACCTCCAGCAACTGTCCCAGAGATAAGATCAGCTCATGATTTTCTTACAGGACTGAAAAATGTATCACTCTTCACATGCAAATTGCTTTACTGTAGAGGGAGATGGATAGAAGATGACTCATACCTCAGACAGCTTTTTCTGTGTAAGATCGGAACTAACGGGTTGGCTTAGAGGTGAGCTATCTTACTAGCAAATGTTTGGAATTTGCTGGTTGACTTGTTTTACCATAAAACAAGGCAGGCTTGGAGTATGGCTTGTAGGGCTGCATTAACACGACAATGAAAGTTTTCTTTGGTGCCTACAGCATCGGGAAGGCTGAATCTCCTGCAGCCGCAATGAGTGCGAAGGGTTCAGAGCACAGCACGGGATGGATCTAGCATGGCATCCTTGTAGCCATTTCTGGTCTATATTCTGTCTAAAAGGCAGCATACAAATGGGGTCCCTGGAAGCATCTCTCCTCTTGAGCCCAGCAGTTGTGCAGGTTGAATGCAGAATGGTGTCCCGAGTTGGCTAAAAAGCTTAGACAGTGGAGGTAGCTTGGTCAAGGTTAGCCTGTATGTCCAGGTGTATCTGCATGGTGTCAGTTAGAGGCACTCTAAGAATCTTTGGAAACCAGAAGGTTTCAGTGTTTCATACACCAAATTTCTTTCTAAATAACTGGCTGGCCTGCTCTTTAGGTCCTTCTCCAAGAGAAGCAGAGCGTCTGCTCCAAGGTAGGAGGTTGTTGGCACACTACAGGCAACACATGCAATTAAGAGCTACAGTAGCATTTTTCTGTACATCCAAGCTCCTTTCTCACCTGAGAGCAGGCTTCTATCCCACTGCAGTACTCGAATTGCTTTATCACCCACAAGACATCAAAGTCATACAATTAATTCTCTCCCATACTCCGTCTCTGTGCCCTCCCTTCCCTCTTCTCCCAGGAGCTGATAGAGCGAAGGGCATGGCACACCTCTCTCTGCCAGACTGGCCCAATGTCAGCACTAGCATGATAGTTTAAGGAAGCTGTTTACACTAAACATCAGTGGGTTTTTGATGGCTCTGAAAGATCTGGTAATTAATGCTGAGATGAAAGATACAGTCTAGGAAGATGGCAGTACGCTTACTACATTAATAGTACTGGAGAATGGGTGTAGCCTTTGCATGCTGCAGGATTCATTTTTATTAATCCTGCCTTGTTCTGCCTCACGAGCAGATAATCACCTCCATTAGGATGTTTCCTGACTTAGGCTGTGTAAGAGGCCAGATGTTTGTAAAGGAGAAGATTAAAAGCAATTCTTTGATTCTCTTTAGTGTTTTGAAAGTAGAGAACTCATGCCATTCTACGAGTCATCTGGCTGCAAGTAGCAGCCTTCAGGTCCAGGAAAATGCCTCTCAGTCATTAGCCTCCTCCCAGCGCATTTGGAGGCTGGGACTTTTGCTGCAGAAGGAAGGGGTGATAAACGTATATGTGTGGGCTGTTTGTAGTGAATATGTAACATCCTCTGGGCACCAAAAGGCTCTAAAGGCAGATGTCAGTCTTACCTGTAAATAGGTTAATGGTGAAGAGTTCCTGAGGATTTCCATTTAGGATGTGAAAAGTCAGCTTTCCCTCTGAGCTAGAGTCTGGGTCCAGGGCATCAAGCTGAAGGACAGATGTGTTTGGTGGGGAGTTCTCCATCACAGAGGCATAAAAGACAGGTCTGGACATCTGAGGTGGGTTGTCATTGGTATCAGTGACTTCAATATAAATTTCTGTCACAGCAGACAGAGGGATTGTTCCGAGGTCAAGAGCCAGCACTGTCAGCCAGTAGTGAGATGTTCCTTCTCGATCAAGTGGTCCTATGGTTCGGATTGTACCTAGAAGAGTGACAGAAGATCTTTGTGAGGGATTCAGGAACTCAGACCACTTTGTACTTAATGCCAGACTGGTCTGTGTCTCTTTCTGCTTCTTGATCTTTGCTGGAAAGACAAACCTTGGTGCCCACCTTGCACAGCAATGTGATTCTGTGGAAGGTGAGGGCTCACTTGTGCTGAAGGTAATTTGGCATGCAAGTGAAAGGGGAGACCTTAGTATTTTGGAGGAGGATAGACATTGATTTAACATTATTCTAAAGAGACAAACCATGCTTGCTCCCCACCAGATACAGATATTATCAAAAACAGGGAAGATTTGAAACCATGGACCTTTACAAATAGACAGAATATAGGAATGTCCTATTGGGGCAAAAAGCAAGGCCCAGTACTAGATGGCTGAAGCCTTGGAGGTACCCCTTTAGCTAAGATGTCATTACCTGTATCCTTTTCAATGCTGAAGAGTGACAGGCCAGTGCCTTCTCTGAGGAAATATTGAACCTCTCCATCTTTCCCCTCATCAATATCCTTTGCTGTGACCAGCATCACTGATGTGCCCTCAGGGCTGTTCTCCTGCACTGAGCCTTTGAAGACAAAGGAGGCAAAGCGTGGTGGGTGCAAGTTCTCGT